ATGAGTGAAAACAGATCCTGAACCAGTCTCGATTTTCCGTTACTTTGAAGGCCTGACGAGGATCCTGTGGCATTGCTGAAGCAGGCATCGATATCTGTTCTTGCATGATGCGCGCCTGATCTGCAGCTAAAATAAAGATGTCATGTTTTGCGGCACGAAACATTGTATGTTCATTAATAAATTACATATAGAAATTATTTGTAACGAAATTATTAAATCTACTAACAAAATTTTTTCTTTACTACCAATTATATTTTTCGTGTGTGGAAAACTGCCAGTTACAATTACCGTTTATCCTTTCGGGCCGCTAACAGGTAAACAGTGTCGCCAACATTCCTGATCCTGCGGAAAAAAGATTCAAACTAAGTGAAGAAATTTCATGTGGGAATCACTATGGCTCGTTCTTAACACACATCCCAAGGAATATTAAGTCATTTTAGAAAGTTGCATAAATTCATCTCAACAATTTTGGATCAACTGGAAACGTCTTTCAGGCAGTCCGTTGATGAATTGATGATTATAATTTTTCTGTAATTCGCTGCAAGGCTGATCTTCGCTAAAATTCTAGTGAGAACTAAGACACAACCTCACGGAAAATCAGTATTTTAAATTATCAAAGTTATTCTCTTACCATTCTCTTCTCCCAAAACTAAGGTGTATATCGAACGCAGGCCAAATACGTTGAGGAAATACCAAGAAGCTGAGCTCACCCATGAAGCGTCCAGGGAAGCTAGTTCGATTCCATGCTGCAGCATTCGTTTGAAACGAAGAGTCAGTGGAAATGGCACTTTTGCTAGTAAAGAAAATGCCGAGTCATTAAGAATGCGAAGTCAAAAAGGAAAAGAAAAATGAACAGAGTTAATCAGTTTATGGTGGCACAAATTTGTACCTCCTATCAGCTGGGTTGTCAAACATTAATTTTCCAAAAGGTATTTTTAATCTGTTTCAACGTTTTAAAGACCGAAGAAATAACGTCTTTCATGGAGCTTTGTACTTGAATGAACAGGTACTTTGATCTTAAAGACTCACTTCTGAAAACATGAATGAAGAGTAATTAAGAGTGTTTAAGAGCCAGCAGCCTATTTTTCGAAACTGTATTAAGCAGGCATTTCCTGGCCAACTGCAGTGATGCAGTAGTATTCTAACTTCTCTGACGAAATGCTCATCTCACAAAAGATGAGTAAACTGGTTCGGAAGGTACAAAAATTAATAGTATATTATTTACAGTCAACTTCATGAACCAGGTGTTGTTGTGGTCAGAACAACGGTGCAGGATGCATTTGATACTACTGAGCCGTGGCCATTTCGTAAGGTCCACTGGACATCATGTTGATTAACCACGTGATAAAATAAACTGAAATTACTGCACGGAAAAAGTTGAACTATTAAGAAAACATAAAAGCAAGAAACTCTTTGAGTTCCATTAGTTTTACATTCGAGATTTTATGCAGCATCTAATTACAACAGCAGGCGTTCTTCAGGCATGATTGCATTCTGATTTTATTTTTATTTTTTGAGTTTCGTTCTTTACGACCGGAAAGGATTAGTGCACAGCAAATTAATGTCGATGAGCGTGTTCTGTTGATGGTTTCTACACTTTTAATGCCGACTGATTCTCTCGAGGTTGCAACGAAGACCTAACTGACTACAATCGAGATATACATTCTTTGTACTATAATATGAAAACTCATAGTATTACTTCAGCCGAATGTCATCTGAAAATTTTTTAACAAGATGTGCATTTACACATGGCAATGCATCTACTACAGTAGTAGAATCATGTTATTTGAAAGGAAGTTAGCAACATACTTGTAACAAAGCCAGAAAACGTCCAGTTAATCCAGCCACCGATCACTAACATCGGTATTACATTGAGGACGTTGCCTTTTAACATGTCTGTCATCATCGAGGGATCTAAAAGTAAAAATATGGATAATACCGGTGAGATAATTTTATGCCAAATATGATGAATATCGTGAACACAATAAAAAATATAGCAGCAGGCGCAGTACAGTAACGATCACAAAGTTCAATCATGTGAAGCTTAACGATGGATGAGAATAACTATGCTAGCCATTATTAGAAATATTTCTCTAACTTTAGAAACTACTATTCGCTTGGACAACGGTGGGAGCAGTTTCACGAGATCTGCGGAATTATCCAGCTTCACCGAATGGACGCAGCAAACTCCGTATGAATTCGAAGGTGCTGCTCTACCAGGTATCTAATCTGTATCACCCAAATAGTTTTACCTGGATCCTGCCACCTGTCTGTGTCTTAGCAATGACGGGGTTTCTTGAAAGTACCTCATGCGAAACCCGCCCAAGGGCCCAAACGATCGCAACCATATACAGAATCTGGTAGAGAATCGTAGATCAGCAGTCCTACAA